AGGGATGACAGCAGGACTTAGCTCCAGAGGTGGGGCAGGAAGCAGGAAGCACATGGGAGCTGCAGCACAAGCTGATGCTAAACACAGAAAGAGAAAGTAGAGCCATCCTGGGTCTCTGCTTTCAGTGCTTCCTGCTATCTGAATCCAGGCAGAAATCAAAGGACCCATTCTAAACTTGAGTGATGTAGGGAAAAGTGATGGAGAATTGATCATGACCAGACAGACTTAGGAGATGTAGTTTTTTGTTTGTTTGTTTGTTTGTTTTGTCTTTTTGAGACAGGGTCTCCCTATAGCCTCAGCTGTCCTGGAACTCACTATGTAGTCCAGGCTGGCCTTGAACTCACAGAGGTCCACCTGCCTCTGCCTCCCAAGTGCTGGGACTACAGGTGTGCACCACCATGCCCGGCTAGGAGATGTAGTTTTTATAAGCAGTCGAATAAACATCAGTGCTCCAGTTATCCAGAACAAATGCTGATCAGCTTTTTACAAACAATAATATACATATAAATTTTCAGAAAATAAACCAATAGACCTATAATTTGAAATTTATATTGACCTTTTTTAATATAATATTTTTATTAATCCTTTGAGAATATTGTAGAATGTATTTTGGTCATAATCATCCCACATTCCTCCCACTAACTCTTCCCACATCAACCCCGCCTGTCTGACCACACCTAACTTCACGTTCTCTTTGGAAAAAAAAATAAACTCCTGAGTTCAATTTGTGCTACCTGTAAACTCATGTGTATAATATCAGCCAATAGACCGTGGTTGACTTACCAGGGATCACACCCTTAAAAAAAAAAACTGACTCTCCCCTAGCATCCATCAGCTGTCAATAGTTCCTCAGCTAGGGGTGGGGCTTGTGAATCACTCTCCTTCATGCTAAACTGTTGATTGGCTTGATCTTTCACAGGACTTGTGCAGGCAACCACATTGTAAACTGATGAGTGCAGTGGTCTTGTCATGTTCAGACTGATCTATCTCTTTATAAACAACAATGCACTTACAATTTTCAAAAAAATCAACCAATGGACCTACATACAATATAAACACCTCAAGTCCTTCAGAACCATGATACATCCTTTTTTTCGGTTTTCTTTTTCCTTCTGTATGCACTGTGTTCACATCATGCCCTCAATATATTTTGTTAATTGAAGGTGAATATTTACAGTGTTAAGGACAAAGTCATCTTAACCTTAAGCAAAGCAATTAGAAAACAACTTGGGCTAGAGCACTTATGACAAATTAATATTGCATTTCCCCCAGGATTGTAGAAACTCAAAGTCTAAACTTTGCAGAATTGCTTAACAGGTTCATTCTAGGAAAGACCACAAAGAGTACAACAACATGTAACAGAAAATAAAGACACGAAGCAGTGATGGGCATGGAGAAAAACTGGATACACTTTTGTGCCAAGGAACTCCATGAATGTTTTAAACATTTTCACCCAATAATTGGGGGTTAGTAGAACACACCCCCATGAAGGCTGGAGCATTTTCTGCTGGCGCTGCAGCAGTTGGGAGCCTCCCTCTTTCTTTGTTACTTTTTGCTTACTTGAATAAATGCCACCCACTCACCCACTCAGATCCCCTTGACTTTCTTTTTCTACCTCAGCTTGAGTTTTCTCTTGCTTGTGGCTCTCATGACTACTGAATTCTGATCTATAACAAGCACAGAATGACCTTTCTTCTTCTCTTCTTTTCATCTCCTCCAGAGGACATTTTTGAGTTAATATCACATCTATACATTGTACCCATGAATAGGTCATGGGACAGCTGGCCGTCCTCTGCTGTGCCAGCTTTCTAGGGTAGGTGTTTCTGCAGATTTAATATCCTCTCATTCAGAGGGGCCAAAGACTAGACTCTTTATTGCCCAGGGCTGTCTTCTGCAGATACACCCACTTTTATCTTTGGATTATCTTCCAAGACTCAAGATCCCACCTGACCTAAGCTGATCACAGCTCTCTGTGCAGATGCTCTGGCATCTGTCTGTCATCTGTTGTTCTCTATCACGTTTCTTACAAGTTGGCCTTATAGATACCATCTAGCACAGATGACCACTCTACCTGGCAATGTGACACTCTTCTCAGAAAGAAAACTACATCACTGTTTTAATCACTACATCACTGTTTTAATGGATCATAGTTCCACTTTTGAAAATTTGCTGGTATTGTATGAACATACAGGAAAAAGGTTTTATCTATTTCATGCCTTTACCCTCATAAAACCAAGTGCCTATCATAGGGTGAAAAAGACTTTAAGATTATTATCTCGCTAATGCTCAAACATTTCACTGTCCCTTCCAGACTACACAAAATGAATCAGGACAGAAAAGAGGCAGAAAATCAGGCAGAAAAGAGTTTCGTAGATTAGATTTACCATGCGTTTGCTTCTGTCTCCTTGAACAAATGCATTTACTTTGAAGATTATAACAACTTATCCATTGCACAGAGATGTGGCGAAGATTAATTAATTCATGTTTTAACGGTGATTTGGGAATCTGCTAATGAAAGATTCCATAAAAATGCTAATTTTTATTATTCTAACATCTATATAGTCTCTTTCAGTTGTCTCATAAAATGGTCATCCAGAACAATTATTATTAAGCTCTTTTAAAGAATGAAATGAAGAACTGAATTTTTATTCTGAATTCTGAATTTTCTTCCTTTTCAAGAAGTAAACTCTAAGTCATTGAAATGCAGATCTTTTGTCTGACTCACAGTTATATGTACGATATTTATGCCTAAAAATAAGGACATAGAGATTTGGAAAAATTACAAACTGAACCAAGCAATACCTGGATAATTGTTCTGAATCTATTGTTCAATCCCACATACCCTGCACAATATCAACCCCAGCTGGAATTTTAGGCTGTTAGATGTAAACTATTTTCACAATATCCAAAATATTTTAGTGCTATTTCATTCAAATTGCTTTAGTACCTTTAAAATCATTATGGTATAGGGAAACTCCCATGTGGTCATAATGATTATTTTTCTTATTTTATTATATGTGTGTTCATTCGATTTTGGCAATTTTGTGTGAAAATTTTGCAGCATATGCTTATGTGTTCATTTTCTGCTGCAGCACCAGCAGAAAAGGCCTTCATGGAAATTTTTTCTGCTAACCCTCAATTATTGAATGAAAATATTTGAAAATATATTATAACATGTAGTCGAAATGTTAATTATGTCATATGAAAGTTATTTAGACCACCAGTGGCAATTTTGAATAATGGGATGCTTCGAGTTCCAGCTACTCTAGAGTTGAATTTGTTTTGTCTGTTCCTACCTATACCTTTGATTTGGAGCTTTACATGTGCAGTTATCTGGGAAGAGAGAACCCAAACTGAGGAATTTCTTAGATCAGATTGGCCTGTGACCACATCTGTGAGTCATTTCTTTTTAACTGGCAGTAGACACCCGACTGGCTTTGAACTCATAGAGATCTGCCTACCTCTGTCTCCCTCCCAAATGAGTGCTGGTTAAAACTGTGTGATACCATGCCCAGCTTGTATTTTTTAAATTGCTAATTGATGTAGGAGGGGCCAGTTCACTGTGGGTAGATAAAGTCCTAGGTAAGTAGGTCTGGGCTGTATAAGAAGGCTAGCTGAGCAACCTAGAAGGAACAAGGCAGTAAGCAGCATTCCTCCATGGTCTCCTGTCTTGCCTTCCTTTGATGATAGATACAATCTGTAAGCTAAAATAAACTTTTCCCTCTCTGTGTTGCTTTTAATCATGGTCCCTTATCACAACAACAGAAAGCAAACTAAAGCCCATGGCTTTGTGCAGAAACATTATTTTGCTTGAGGTTGATTCCAAACTTATGACTTTTTCCTAGAGTATATTTGTATTCTGGTTTTGGTCTGGTTGAGAAAACTAGAATTACCCACCTTCTCATGATCCATCTTAATTTTGATAGTGTGGAAACATAGCTTTGGGGAAGTGAGAGGAGCCACTGCCTTTAGGCACTTTTGCACATTAGAACATGTGTTATTGAAATAATTCTGATGGAAAGTCCAGACAAACTATTATAGTGATTTTTCTCCAAACAGTGGCTTATGCAAAATCCAAAAACCTACTATGCTAAAACAATTGTCTGTGTGTGTATGTGTGTGTGTGTGTGTGAATGCATGTGGTCGTGTACCACAGGATGATGATGGAGATTGGAGGACGCCCTGAGGTGTCATCCCTCGCTTTCCTCCTCATTTAAGGTAGGGTCTCTTGTTTTTCTATGGCTGCATTTGCAGTGTTAGCTGGCCTGAGAGCTTGTGTAATTTTAATGTAATATGAATGATGGTGGCAGTTGATACTAGTAATCTTCTACTTTATAGGACTAAAAAAACTGAGGGGAATTTACATTTTTATTTTTGATGATCTTATAAGGGACAAAGACTAAAGAAAGGTTGGCTCTCAGTTCTGAGTTTTAATATGCTCAGAATTCATCCTTTGAATAATTAACAATAAAAGACCAATCATTTTAATGGTCATCATTCTGTAAGGGTTAAGAGCAAAACATTTATTCTGAATAATATTGGTATGATGTAATAATTATTATGTTATAGTCAGTGTAATGGTAAAACTCAGAAACATTTCGATTTCATTCTTATTAACAGATGCCCTTACAGGAAAAGATTCAGATCTAGCTTCCAATTTGTAAAACAACCAGATACCACTTTATGCCTCAAAATCTTCTGGTACCCTGGAAACCTCAGGAAATATCTATATTTTCTTTAGGCAAGTCCTGCCAGAGTCTTATTATGATAAAGTTAAGACTGATAGAATCATTTTAAATATATAGGCTTTTTAAAATAACAACTTTAACCAGAAGATTCTAACCTACCTACTAAAAAGACTTTCTGTCCAGAATCTTAGTCCCCAATGCCAGAAATTCTGCAAAAGCTAGTGCATATCTCCTTCTCTAACACCAACATCTTATGAGTCCATCCATCCATACTTCCAATATCAAGAAAATATTTAACTTCCCATCACTCACCTCTAGAGAACTCATTGATATCGTTGATCCAGTTTCACTTCTTGACAGTCCCGCATTATCATCCAACTCAGAGGCCATGAAGTTTTTCACAGCTGTGCGTGGCTCAAAGGGCAAATTCTGCATATGTTCCTGGGGCGTGAGGTGCTGATCTAAGTTCATATTGAACTGGTCCATTACAGGGGGATTCATATTGAACTCAGGATTCACTTTGTAGTGCAATAGCCTTTCATGCGGCAAGGTTTCCATGCCAATATTCATTTTGCTTTCCTCCTTCATTGATGGCTGGGTATTTACAGAACTTCTGGGCATCACAATATAGTCACTTTCCATCATTCTTTCTTGAGGATGGACTATGTCCATATCAGCCCCTCTTAAATTGTCATCCGTACATAAGTACACAGTTCTTCTCAACTCAGTGTTCTCTTTCTTCAGACACTGATTGCTCAGCTCATTCATGCTCATGGGCATGTGCAGGCCTGTGGGCTGCTGGATGATGACTTTGGAAATGACATTTCCAGGCAATGTTGAATAGCTCAGCCCTTCAGGGTTTGTGCCCTTTTCTTCTTCATCATCATTCAGAGAGATCCTGGAGAGTGTTCCTGTTATTGTTGCTGCTCGGCAAGGACCAATATCCTTATGAAGAACTGTGAATTAGAGCACAATAGTTAATAAAAGAAAGTGAGTGTTTATTTTATTGCTATATGTTGCTATTTGTTTCCAAAAAATCACTGTGAATAAAAGAAAATAATCATGTGCCTGTTTGATCATGGTCCAGATTACTGAATCTTTACTGATTCTGCCATGCTGTCATAGATCACAAGTAACCCACAGGTAAAGTGTATCTGAAAGCTGATTAATTTGCTTTCAGAAATCTCCATGTCCTGGCCTAAAAACTGTTCTAAATAAAGTTTCAGGGTAAAGGTAGTTTATCAGAGAACTCTTCTCCATCAATGTGCTGCAAAACATTTTTTACAAAATTATAGATTTTATTCATGCCAATTTGATATTTTCTTATAGGTCATTCTTTTGAAGTGTTATAGAAGTTCTATCCATTAAAAGTGGTTCTTGAAAGAGGCAATCAACCCAAACTTCATAAAACTGGTCTAAAAGTCCCTCAAAACTTACCCATATTGAAAACTAATAAGTATACACTGAAGTCCATATGGTCATTTTAATGCGATATTCAGAAGCATTTATCACATTGAATTATACATGGGAAAAAGAAAAGTTTTCAAAAGATCAACCCACTGGCTCATAAACCCTTTAGAGAGTGTCAAAAAAGCCAGAGTATAAGCAGGGAAAAAATAAAAAAGCCTCTGAAAACTCCATTCCAGTTTAATCTTGGAAACGTTTCTTAGAAAACAGTATATGCTCCTTTGTAGAATGAAAGGAAACAAACAAAACTAAAGAAAAAACAAACCCAAAACAAGAAAGTTAATAAAAGACTTAAGAATTCTTTATCAAACTATATATTTTCTTCTTCTCTTTATTCTCTGTCAAAATTAAAGACCTGGGTTATGGATAAGACAGTCAGAATAGTTTGAAGCATGTGCTTCTATAAACAAATGGTCACATTGGGGGTATGAAAATATAAAATTATGAAGAAATGTTCTTGGCATTGAAAGGACAGCGATAAGCTGTGTGAGGGCTGGGGGAAGTTGCTCTCCAGTGACCACCCTGTCCACAAAACAAAGGAATTGTGGTCTGGAATTTAACTAGGGCTAGACAACTATAGACTATTTAGCGTATAAAGGCATAGAAACTCTGTTATATGGAATTTTGTCTATCATCATCCAATTTTGTGCAGACTCATAATTGTTATTAATTAGCACACACACTGAAAAATAGATTATGAAAATCTTTTCTATGACAAAAAAAGCCTTTAAAGATATTTCAAAACTTGCACCACCCCTACAAGGCCTGTATCTGTAGAGATGCTCTTTTTAGCCTTTGTGTTAGTGTCTCTTTACTTCACATACCATAAAATCATGTTAAATCCTCATCCATATATTTTTTTCATGATTTTACTATGTGGTTGTGAATTTTACATTTTATATCTAAAAAATACAGAATGGTTAAGTTTTAAGAAGTTATTTCTAAACTTAGCATGGTTGTAGTGATGTAAATGTAGCACTTGGGAGGTTGTGGCCATCTTGGCTACATAATGAGACTTGATAAAAACTACAACCAGAAGAAAACAAATCTCTTAAGGTAATAATAGGTCATTAATACATTGTGCTTTCCAAAAGTAATTATAAATGAAAATATTCAGGGGCAAGACATATTAATGGGTTTAATGATACTCTAAAATGTTTAAAGCATTTCCAAATGCAAAGAAAAATATTTTTGCTAACTTTATTCAAAAATTACTTCAAAATTTACAGCACTAAAATTTAAAGGCAAGTTGTGGGAACCTATCACTTTGAATTATAGTTGTACAGATAGTAACATGTTGTAACCTAGGAAGGAAACCTTGGAGTGAGTATTGATTGTATAATCTGGATATAAGATACATTTGGTTTTTCATACTGAAATAATTGGGGCAATGGAATTATTCTTACAAAATAATGTCTACAGTGTATGAGAAGTGTGCTTGCTTCTTAGATAGTCATAAATGCACTTGAGCTTTGAAAATGCAGCACTTAACATGGAAGCATAATGGTGAAGTGGGACCTTTGAGAAAATTAATCAACTCGTGGAAGGCAAAACAGGTATAAAAATTAAACAAAACAAAGAGCAGCTGAATATTTAACAGAATCATATATACACTCCAGCATTTGCAGAAGTTTAAGCAAAAATTAGAGCACGATGCTGAGTCCATAAACAGAGACTTTAAAGTTTAATACATTTCAACACAGATATCTTTTGAAAAATCCAGAAAAAAAAATCTCCTGATGAGCTCAGTTAAAAAAGCATTGAGCAAAAATAAAACTATTATAGTATTTTTTATTAATAATATAGTAGTTTCTGTTTAGAATGCTTAATACCAGAATTCAATATGGCCTGGGCAATAGGAGTAATTTAATGAAAGAGAACATTACATACTGAAGGGATGGGGCCACAGCTCCAGGAAGATGGTCTGACACACTGGGCCGCAGATGTGGTATGGATTAGAGTTTCGTGAATGTTTTATAAAATGCCTGCTTACTATACTCTAGCCTCCCAGTTTCTAACCCACAAGGTCTAGGATAGGGATTTAAAGTTGCATTTAGAGTAAGTGGCAGGTGATGCTAACATTTTTTTTGTTTGGGTACCATACTTTGACAAGCACTGATTTGATGTGAGTAACTGTTAAGGAAAACAAAACTATATGCTCCCATTCTTTCCTCTGTCACAAATGCTAAAGAGAGGCAGGAAACTAAAGTTTGGATGGAGGATGAGAAATTAAACAGATACCTAATCATTAAAATAACTTCAATCTTCCTGATCCAGAAAAATTGTATCCTCTAAATGTAAAACCTAAAACTTTGACAATGATTTAGGAAATTATAGAAGATGTATAAGTAAAGGGAAAATATTTTTTCAGTTATCCATTGAGCTGGTACATTCAAGAAACTGGTAGATTCAAACACTAGTGAAATTATGTCTTGGCAATATTTTTGTTGAATTCTTTTTCCAACAGGAAAAGATAGTTCCAAGTACTCTACACAGGCCCACTAAGGGCTGACAAATCATAACTGCTGCTTTGTGGCTCTGCTATGACTGTACTCCACATAGAATGTTTTAGATGAATTCAAGAAGATATGAGATTAGTCTCTTATTTCCTTGTAATTATAACAAGAAATAGGACCAGAAATTCTGCACATATTTTAATGATTGAGTTGAATCTGAAAACAGTGTATAAAGGGATCTGGCAGGTAGGGAGTGCCTTTCTGAGCATAGCAGATTTCTGTATTAACTGTCATGACATTTAACTCTTTTATTGACAGTTAAATGAAGACTTAAAAGGTACTTTTATATTTCCAATGGCAAAGCAATCTCAGACGGATGCTATGCTGAAGGAGGTAAAATGACAGTAATGGAGATAAAAGCAAAGGCCATGGGTTTATTCCTTTGTTTTGTTTTTAGAGAAAAGATACTCAAAGCAGAACTTTTAAATAAGTTAGAAGGAGAATCCTTGACAGCTCCTACAAAACACCTTAAGGGTTTTAGATGACAAGTTGACACATACTGAAATATAAGTCAAATATAAATGTAGAAAACATTAAGTAACTAGCCAACTCTGATGAATGATGGAATGCACATACACACACATGCACACGCACACACATACGCACATACACACACGCACTTGCACACAAATTTATTGACAAATTGGAGGCTATTTTTGGTACCATGCCATTAGAAGGAATTCTAACATATGGCTGTTAAATTCAGAGGAATGAAAAGACTTAGATTGAACTAAATGAGAGTTGTTTTCAAATATTTGGATACTTAGATGAGGAACATCACTTTTATTATGGAAGAAGACAGCATCAAGACTAACAAATAAAATGCTGTAGTTGGAAGGACCATTTTTCAACAACTGAAATGACTCAAATATGAAACATGCAGTTCCTTTAAAATTCTCAAGCCATCTCCTCTGGTGAAAAATTAGTCAATGACTAGACGATTACCAAGAAGTCACTGGGGTCTAAACACTGTAAACTGGGATGTTTTCCTTGCACTTTCTAAAAATAAAACAGCCACCAATAAAACAGACAGAAAGACACACTCACACTCAATGGTATTTCAGCAGTCCAGTGGTTCATAGTCTATGCATGATGAATCAGACAGAGAGGCTAAACAAGTGCTCTTAGACCTAACAACCATCAGTTCCATAGGACAGAAGTTTCATGTGTTAGTCTAATGCTTTCTGATGCCGTAATGCTCTTAATGAGCCATTCCTAATGTGGTTATCATTTCTCATTCCTTCTCTCTCCTCTCCATACACATCCCTGATATTCTACTGTTTATCTTTGGAAGAGCCACCTATTCATTCACGTGAATGCGTGATGGAGAAAACACAGTCATTTCTTCAAAATAAAGACCCATATAAATGATTTCACATTCCTAAAGATGATATTTTCGAGATCAAGATATGCTTACCTGATCGACAAGCAATGTCTACATCCTTTTCAAAGTCTGTCTGTAACAAGAAATAAGGCATAGAATCATCGTTTAATGAAATCTCAAATGATTTTTAATATTCAAGTTCTACGAAATTTAGATTTCTGACTAGCCAGTGCCAGTCTGTTGTTTTATGCAAAGCATGTTTTTCAAAGAGCATAAGGGACTGGAGAGATGGCTCAGCAGTTCAGAACATTGGTTGTTCTTGCAGAAGACCCGGGTTCGAATCCCAGCACCCACATGGCAGCTAACAAATGTCTGTAACTCTAGTCCCAGGGGATCTGACAGCCTCTTCTGACTTCAGGAGACATTGCATGACACGGGTACACTTACCTACATGCAGGCAATACACATATACATGAAATAAATAAATTTTTAAAAAAAATGGTGCATAAAACCATTTTTGGAAATATGCATAATTTTTATAAGGTAACACTTTACTACATATAAAATAATAGAATTTTAGCTAGGGACTGTTGGCTGAAGTTGCCATTCCAGCCGTTCAGGAGGATGAAGCACAAGAATTACAAATTCACAGACTACCTGTACTACAGAATGACGTCAAGGTCAGTGAAACCATGATCAATATAAAAAGTCCAAAAAAGGGGAAGGGGTTGGGGATGTAGTTCAGTTGCCAGGCAGCTAGCTTAGCATGCATGAGGCCCTGGGTTATATCCCCAGCACCACATAAAATGGATATGGTGGTACAGATCTGTAATCTAGTACTTGGGGATATGGAGGAAGGAGTCATCACTGTAGGTTATGAAATGATACGCCAATAACAGAAAAATTTGTAAGGAGTTTTGTGTTTGTCAGATCATCACTGTTTTTCTGCTAAGCAGAATTGGAATTGGGGAAACCACTAAGCAAGTATAAAGGTTTCCTATGAACCACTGTCAGAAAAATAGTACATGTTGATTTTCTGTTTATATCCAAGGCAACACTTGAAAGTACAATATGCAAAGGAAAATAAATAACATGTTAGAAATGTTGCCATCTAGGACTAATTCCCATGAAGATTTCCCAAATTCTTATTTTAAACTAATTAGATTATTTTTTAATGGTAAAATTAAATTAGCCTGTCATAACCAGGTTCTGAAAATCATATGCTTTTCACTGTTAATATTTTATTTATTTACTTTACATTTTTTTGGTGTGTGTGTGTGTGTGTGTGTGTGTGTGTGTGTGTGTTTGTGTTCATGATGTGTGTGGGGTGGTAGGGCAGACATGCCATGACAAAGATGTAGAAGTCAGAGTACAACACTGCAGTTGTTTCTCTCATTCCACCTTTTTGTGAGTTCTGGGGATTGAATTTACGTCTCTGGGTTTACATAGCAAATGCCTTAACCTGCTGAATCATCTCACCAAGCCACTATCAGTATTTTAAACTAGAAATTTCTAAAATTTGCCAATGTGTTCATGCCTACGGTACTCTTACAACACTCTGGGCTCATGGATGTTCTGAACCCGTCCCAGGAAGGGTGCCTTCTCATTGTGCTTCAGTATTGCAGCACTTACTTCAGGCTGTACACTGAAGCAGCAATGCCTGGGGTTCACTTTCAAAGGCACTGAGATAATTGACTGGGTTTCAGCTCCTCTGATGATTCTAACATGCAACTAAGTCTGAGAACCATTGATTTAAAGGGAAAGTCCATTGTACTTCTATATGTAAACCATTATTTCCAGTTCTGGGCAAGGATGAAACTACTCTGCAGTGTTACACATGACACCACACTGGAAACCCAAGGCAGCCAACAGCAGATACTGGAATCCAAGGTAATCTACACAGAGCATGTATCTGCTAAGTACTATTTAAAATTTTTTTATCTTATTATTTATATGTATGCATGTGTGCCTGCGTGTGTGTGTGTGTGTGTGTGTGTGTGTGTTTGTGTGTGTGTGTGTGAATGCATGAAGGTTCATGTGGAGTCCAGAAGAGGGTACTGTATCCCCTGGAGTTGGAGTTACTGGTGGTTGTGAGCGACAAGATGGGTGTGCTAAGAACTGAACTTGGGTCCCCTGGAAGAACAGCATGTGTTCTTGAACACTGAGCCATTCCTGCAGTCAACAAAGTGCTAAGTTTCAATGAAACTTTGTGGATTATTAATAGAGATTTGCTTTTTAATTTTCTTGAGAAACCATGACTTAATTATCAGCCAGAAGGAAAAAGAAAGCTCACCATGATTTGAGCATGCCCATTAGGAAAAGAGCTTGAAGAGTCAGCATTGATTGGATCCTGGCAGTTTCTCAACCGGCATCTAAATGCATCCTGAACCTGTAAGGAGGGGAAAAAAGCCAACAGTAATTTTCCTTTTTCTTGACAATAACCAGGTGCTGTCTATATTGGCTATTGACTACGAGAAAGTTTAATACTTGCTTTTATGGTGTCATTTTGTTTACATCTTAATACTGGTGTACCTCTATGGTGATGCACCTTGGCTTTCCTCTAAGGTGAGGAAACACCCCTTGCCACCACCTACACAGGGAAATGTTGGGAAATCTTGAGGTATTAAAATGGCTATACCTGGCTAATAATTCTTGCCCGAGGTCAATTTTCTTTCATTGTCATACATCGCATATGTCTTCCAAGGGGGATTTCCCATTTTGCATGACCTAATATTCATAACAGCTTTACATATTGCAAAACATGAGATGACTCAATGATCTTTTGATTAGAATTGATTTAAGATGTTTTTCCTTTTCTGTTTCACTTAAGCAGTGTTTAGGTAGAGAATTCCTTTTCTTCTTTTTTTTTTCCTTTTTGTCTTTTTGAGACAGGGTCTCCCTGTAGCCCCAGCTGTCCTGGAACTCACTATGTAGACCAGGCTGGCCTCGAACTCACAAAGATCCGCCTACTTCTGCTTCCCAAGTGCTGGGATTAAAGGTGTGTGCCACCATGCCCTGCTCATTTTCTTCTTTTAAGTCCTGTGTTCTCAGACATTAAAAACAGGAAACAGAAAAACAAATAGGAAACGAAACTCTAATTCTGGTTGATTGTCTTGAGGAAAAATAAATGTAAGCCCAGGCAAACTTCCTCAGCATCCTATCAGATTCTGTTTACAGAATAAACAATCATGGGGAATTCTAAGATGTCTACATTAATGATTTCATCCAATAATTCAGTAAACATGAATAACTGAAAGAGGAACACCACTGATCCCACGATAATGAAAACAATTGTTATGTTTCAGATCACAGGACACCTCGGCCTTAGTTTGCCCATCCCACTTTCTGTGGTCCATTAGGCTCCTCATAATTTATTGACAGATATGTTGACAGGGAGCTACTTATCCCAAACCAATGGCCAGGCTATTTCACTAATTCTTTGTTTTCTGGCTTCATGTGTTTGATGTTCCCCTTCTCATCTACTGTAATCTGTTTTACTACACTAAGAAAAAACAAATCACAGATGATGTTGTATTTTCTCTATTATATCGAAGCACTGTTACAGAGACTGTAGGGTAAACACATCTGGATTCCTTCTTTTCGAAAAGTACAGATATATAATATCCTGTCACTGTTTGGATGTGAGGTGTGCATAATGTATTTGTTGGTCAGAAAACAAATCGAAACATAACAAACCAAAACAAATACCTCAGTCATTTAATTTGTTTTGTGTTTCCTCCTACCTACCCCCACCCACCATTTCAGAGAGTTCTCTGCTCAAATTTGCAGTTTTGGTTTCAAAAGACACTGAGTAGTCACCCCCACAGACTGTCCTGCCAGTCCCATAGTGAGATCTGCATGTACTCTCTACCTTGGGTTCTACACCTGGTGGTGTTTCGTAATTTCTGGGAAATAGTCCTGGGGAGCAGCTGGGTGTCCTCTGAGCACTCTTTCATTCTGTGATGGAATATTATGAAATCTAACATCCCTCCAAGGAATGAAGAGTTGTCTGACATATTTTATGAGTCTGACATGTCAGAAAAAGTCCATCTTCAGTAATCCAGTCTGGTCACTTCCTAAGGAACTGGATAAATAGAATTGAATGGCCTGCCTTCTCCCAGTGAAGCCAACAGGGCCATGACAGAGTGCAACTGTGAATGCTTTCAGGAGACTCCTTTATAGAAGTCATTGCTATAGGTCATAAAAAAGATACATTAATAATAGAAAAATTGTTATGTGTTTTGCGTTTGCCAAATGATCACTATTTTTCTGTTAAACAGAATTGGAGATAGGAAAACCACCAAGCAAGTATAAAAAATTCTATGAACCATTGTCAGAAAAATAGGTACATGTTGATTTTCTGTTTATATCCCAAGGCAACAGCTAAAGTGCAACTTGTAAAGGAAAATAAATATATATTAGAAATGTTGCCTTCTAGGACTTTGTCATATGAAGATTTCCTTCAAATCTGTTTATATAAAATATGAAACATTGTGGCAATGTCAAACATTAATTGACCATTTTCTATTTTCAATTGGCAAAGATATTTTTGGTTGACATTAAAATGTGGGAAAGCAATTTCTGTAAGTTTATCTTCAAAGAATCACTGTCTGGTTGCTTAGAAGAGAAATAAAATATGTTCTTCAACACACACACATACACACTTCAATACTTTCAGTTGCCAAACTTTCAAATATGATAATGGGTTAAGGACACTTCTTTCAGCATAGATGATGTCAGCTTTAATGGTCAGAAAGACAAAACAGAAAAGCACACAAAATTCCCAGTACACTTAAGGTCATATTAAAGTTGTCACAAGTGCCATAATTTAAGAATCAGATTATGAGATATTTTTAGTGTAGTGGATAACTAAATTAATAAAGATTTCTAGGAGAAATTTCATTTGTTTCCAACCACTCCTTTTGAATGTTTGTTAATCTTAAAATACACTGAGGTGATCTGTAGTTGGCATTAAACTTTTGTTCAACACTGTAAGGAAATGATGAGATGAGATTTCACACTGTATATTCCTTATCTCAGAAAGAGCTTCAGGAAAGAAAGAAACTGGAAAAATATCCAGTTACTTGGAAACATTTTGATAATTGAATTTTCTATCAGGTAAAAAAGAGTTTTATCTTTGTTGAATTAATGTGAATTGGACTGAAGTAGAACTGGAAACAAACCTACAGGAATCGTGGTTCTAGACAAATAGATCCATGAAGACAAATAAAACAAGATAAAATTTAGATTAGGCTGTGCTATAGTGGAATTAAAATCCCCCGAATCGCCTGTCATTAATTATATTTATAATTCTGCACAGTAACAGTTTTTGATTTACTGTTTATAGAGAACTAATCACATTCTTCAGGTAACAGTTTTAAAGCTTATTATTAGATAGTACTGTAAATCTGAGTTCTTTTGAAATTAACATTTAAAAAAAAAACTTTCTTGAGGCCGGAAAACACAATTTTAAGGAACTCTGTGGAGAGCAATTAAACATTTAACACTAATTATGGAACAGTCCAAAGCTACATTATAAAATGTCTTCTTTTTATCATAGCCTGGAATAAGTCTGTCATTCTTAGTGATGATCGGGCAGGGTTGAATATGAGAGGAAGTAGCAAGAGACTCTAACTGCCTTTGCAATACTTCGGAAACTAAGGAAATCTGATGCCATGTTGTGAACGACGAGAATGGACGGACCGAGACATCTCTAAAAATAAAGTGACAGCTATCAACGTCGTCTCTGGTAAGTTTTAAACCAAGCAGGAGGCTGCTTTGAAAACTCTTGGAGAAGCAGTAAATCTTTCTCATTGGGTCCAGATTCCTGGATGAGGTATGAATTCAAAGAAGTTTGCAGGGGAATGTCTTGATCCGCTCCTCTCTCCCTCATGGTGAGAGGCATTCGGTTTTTCTCGGCAGCAGCAAGCTGGGAGTTTCTCAATTGGCCGCACTCCAGAGGCAGCTGGCAGTGTCACTGTGAAAGCCTGTGCCAGATTTAGAGATTGCCGGGGAAGAGCACCAAGCAGTGTTCGGCAGTGCTGCAATCTCGAGAAACGTCGCAGGAAAGAGCTGCATGTTTGAAATGGGCTCTTTTTTCTTTTTTCTTTTTTCTTTTCTTTTTTTTTTTCAATTTTTTTTTTATAGCGGTTGAACTGCTCAGACCTAGGCCTCTCACCTTTAAAAAAGGCAGCTCTTTCTAGCGACAGCTACTCTTCTTGAATTTTTTTCCAGAAGATAATTTTTAAACCAGGAATATAGAAGTTTTATTCTTGCAATTTTCTGAGATTATGTCCAGGGAGGAGGAATTTCTTATGTGCTGTGTGTTTACCTGAACATTGTGTTTACCTTGCTTCCATTGTTTCATAGTTGAACAAATGGCACCGATTTTTAAAAATGTATTATATCTTATATTATTTAATCAATTAATAAATAAGTCAGTCTCATAATTTTTATATCACTTGACATAAACAACATGAATGACTCGAAATTTAAGAAATATTAGTTGACTTTTCTTAACAAAAGAAGTAGAATTCAAAGGTGGCTTCTTTGCTATGCAAGGAAAGATCCAGATTGCGGATTCAGATTTCAGTCCTGATGAATCTTTATTGGAAGCTCTTAATGCCCAAGGATCTACCATTTGATATCTGAGATCATGCTTTGTACCTTCAAATTAGTTTTTTTTTTTTTAAACCGCCTTTGGGGGGAATATAGAAACTTCTTTAGATGATATTTCAAATACACAGTCTGAAAAATGTAGTCACGTTTCTTTAGTGTGCAAATGTGAGGAAAGAAAGGGAAATTCTATGCCAGACAGGATCGCCTCACACCTTCACAGGTGCCATTTCATGTGCCTTGTGGGCCAGCCTTTCAGACAGACAGGATTGCAATAGGCAGAAAAGCTCTCTTTGGAGAGCTTCAGAAACTGGCTCAAGATCCTAGCAATATGTGACAAACTGAAACGAGCCGAACATGAACCACCACGCCGTTTGCCTTCCAAGTTAGCCTTCATCCTAAGACATCATTCTGTCTGTACTCTTACAACCTTATTGAACAAAGAGCAGGATAGTTGAAATAAAAGAATGAACCAAAACAATTACACTTTAATCTATCTTTTACAAATTAACCAGATATGTATTCATTTTATTCCTTTAGTCAAGACCTATTGAGCTTTGTTGCTAGAATAATAATGCTGTACGGTGACATCCTGGGGATCTAGGAGAGGGAAGTGGAGTATGCCAGCCTACCTGGCTGTGCCCAGCAGAATTCTCACTGAGACAGAAGCAAGATGCTGCTGCTTAGAGTAAGGGGCAGCTGGGAGGGCAAGGTGAGGGTCTGTCACAGAACCCCAAATTACAATTGGATGCCACCTGGAAGGCATACCAGAAT